TATTTTACAATTTAATGAATTATGTAAACATTTTCACGTTTACGTTATTATCAGTACATATTAATTTATATTTAAACAGCTCTTTAATTTTTGTACTGACAATCTAATCATGATCAAATTGTTTACATTCATATATTTATTATATATATTGTAAAACACATGTTTCATACACGAATAATTATAGTATTTGGTTTGTATTGATATTAATTATTTACTTAAAAAATATTTTGATTGTATGCGATCACATGTTTCTTTGTTTTTTTTTTAAATGTCAAATTTGAAATTTGAAATTGCGCTTTTTCAATTCGTTGATGCGATATAAACGTCTCGGATCTCTCTCAGTTTTTGAAGCTAGCTGTAAGAGCCGCCGAAGTCATCTTGGTATGCTGAGCCAGAATTAGGTACTTCGAACTGGTTTCCAGCGATAACGAGCCGAATTAGCTAAGACTATATTATAATGGCGTCTTAGACGGCATCTATATGAATATTTAACAGCAAGCTTAGTTTCTTGGCGACCCGTGTATACTTTGAAACTAAGAACTTTGCAATTGTGACATTTGTTACGACATATATAATCTAGTTTATGTTTAAAGTGATTGTATGAAACGATTTAATATCTTATCAATCAACAATTAAATAGATAAAATTAAATTAAATAGATTAAATTATTATAGAAAATTGTATAACGATATTAATAAATGGACTATTTTAATATTAGATTTGATGTGATAAGATATGATTAATTAATATATATCAATTAATAATGCATTTATAAGTAAGAACATTTCAGAGATTACATATCAAAATTAATAATAAACATATTAAAATTCTAATAAAATTGCATTACTTGATATACTGCTATGAACTAATACCAGTATATGAAGTAATGCAAAATTTCATTACGAAAATAAAAATTAAACTGTGCAATTCATTTGAAAAAATGGTATATCTCGGATAAGACTTTACGACAGTCACATAGAGAACCAAAGCATTTATAGGCCGAAAATATAGCTTGATGTGATCACATATTTTTTATATACGTTGCCTTAACGTTTTGAGTCCCGTGGATTATAGGAAATGGATATCGCTGAGAGGTTTATGACTCCAGAGATTTCGGTAAAAGAATAATCCAATTTAATACCACAAAAGTTTTCGCCTTAGTTCGATAGAATAGCCATTTTGGCACGAATGAGAAACCAAGTTCGATTTTGATTCATTGGTACACTTGTGGATTTTCTAAAAATCGTAACAATAAAAGTGTTTCGTGACATTCAATTTTACATGTGCATGCGATGTTCATTTTTCAATTTTTTGTTTGATTTTATATTTTGACCATAATACAAAATCTTTTATAATATTGCAAATTATAACGAAAAATTATATACTAGAGAGATGTCTTTTTTTAAATTATAGTTTTGGCAAATTTAAAACAGATCGTTTTCAAAAGCATTATTGAACTACACTACTTATACTTTTATATTTACGTATTTATTATATCTGATATTTTAATAAATACCAATAATTTGCATTATTAGAAACTGATATTAACAATCTTAGATTTCACTTTCTTTAATCTATCTACATATATATATATATATACAAGTATATTGCTCTGCAATCCCAAGTTCCGCGTGCATTTAACATTTTATTATTTTTTGAAGATTTTCATTTTATCATCGTGCTCGTAGCATTTCATTTTCCATGATAGGCAAAAATATAAAATTATGTTTAATTAACGCATCTTTTTTTTTTTTTTCTTCTACTAAAGACACATTAGTATAGCTTTCTTTGACTTTACCGTGAAAGCAGCTGCTGTTCGACGTTGAAAGAAGTTTGAGTGCTTTAACAATTGGAAAGCCGGAAATTAAACATTGAACAACGAAGTCTTTATGACATATATCGAAAGTATTACGCAATTTTATGAAATCATGCACGACATAAAGCGTTTATTGGGTTTTATTTTTGTTCATCGTTTCATTAACTTATTATGCGAATTATTGGTGAATATATCTATTAGAATAGAAAAGATCTAAAGAGAGTATACACATATGAATCTTTTAAGTCTATCTTATGATGTTTGGCAAAACAAATAGATATATCTTATATTTTTCTATTATTTTCACAATATTTGAAGAACAAAAATTTGTTTCGACATCTGATTCTCAGAAACATAAGAAACAATTCCAAAATATTAGAAAAATGTTCTATTGGCCATATCAAATGTTTGTTTTGTCGCATTTTCCGCGTTGCATCTGTAGCTTCGTCAAAATGTGCTACGTGTATTCGTACAAGAGTAAAAACAGAGAGGAGAACTGAAGCTTGCGATTGATTCGTTTGCGTATCAATAAAAAAGTGAAAATGTGCTTTAGAAGAGTGAACCAAAGATATGAAGAAAGCATGCTAATGTGTGCAGATTTATTGAAAAACATTTTGCGCATGCAATTGCTCTCTTCCAATGCCTATCTTTCTCTCTTTTTCATTTTTTCCTCTATTTTTCTCCGTCTCTTTCGTTCTGTTTATGTAATTGCACATGCACACGAAAATTTACATCGAAGCGTTTGAAAAAAAATCACCCCGATATGGACTGTGAGTCGTCGGATCTTGATTTTTTTTTTTTTTTTTTTTTTTTTTTTTTTTTTTTTTTTTTTAT